GCGGGGTGGGGGGGTCGGTGGTGGCGCTGGGAGGACTAACCCGAGCATAGGATTCCTAGGAAAGTCGTTCAGAGATCCCACTAGCTGAACTGCTGAAGCGTTAGCAACTGGATGGTCTTGGTCTCAGCGCAGACCATGCGCCTGAGCACCAGACACAGACGACAGGTTCAGGCCTCTCCTCCTGGTCAGCACACTTTTGCAGGCAGAAAGGCAGCTCTGGCCCCTTGGCTCTGTCCAGTGCCCGCTGGCTGGGGCATCCTGCCTCTCCTTCAGGCACTTAAAAACTAATGAAGGCGTCAGGCTATACAATTTAAAAGGACCAGCCCAGTCATGTATTTCTACATATTCATGTGCCCCCGCACTGAGTTCAGTGATAGACCCTCAGAGAGGTTCCAATTTCCAGTGAATGGATCAGTTCTTTGAATATAACTGCTGGGGGAGAGAGGGTAGGTAAAGGAATTACTTATGTGGCCCCAGCCAAGTGGGGCTTTTGGTATTCTCAGAGGTCTTTAAAGTGGTAATTGCAACTAATAAAGATGTACATAGCAGAGAGTAAAATAAAGGCATCTTTAGAGGTATGGGTACCTTGATAAAAAACAAAAGCTCAAAGACAGTGATGGGGAATGTTAACAACCAGCCACTGTGGACAGAAGGCACAGAGCTCTTTCTGACTCAGCCCCTAGGATTTATTCCATGACTGGGGCTAGATATCCACCAGCAACTCAGAAAGGCAGCAGGTAGAGCTCTGGCTTTACAGATTTAGGGGAGAAGAAATGACTAGAGCATTTGGGGCTCAAAAAAAATCCGAGGCTCATGTATAATGCAAACATCCTGGCAAGGCAGGAAGCTTGTTGGCCCCTTCCTCCTTCCCCACATACTTCAGGCTCCAAGTTCCCTGCCTTGATTTCATTGCCATTGGGGCTCCCTTCCTAGATGACACCCTGCAGTGCCAGGGAGGAGGAAACAGTAAAGCCCAGGCCTTGCCCCTAAATCTGCCTCTTGAATAAGGGTCAGTTTGAGCCAAACTTGTTTTCTCCAGTCTGTACAACTAAGCCATGGTAAATGTGCGATTTAGAACCACAGCCTTCACTTTTCCATCTGCCTCTGTCACACATAGCCTTTCAAAAGTTCTATGTCCAATCGTCATGCCAGACAGAACGTGAGCTCTGGGGTCGGTGGCCTCAGCTCTGCCACTTAGCTTGGTTATTTCCCCTCTCTGAGCCTCATGTTATCCAACTGTAAAAAGGGACCAATATCTACCTTAACAGGCTGTTATATTAAGAGAGGTCATGAATTCAAAGGTTTTAGCCTAGTGCCTGGCACAGAGTATGTACTCAGTTAAAGGCAGCTGGTGTATCCTAATTCCTCTTAGCTCTTGTCTTAACGTCCCAAGGAACATTTACTCATGGTACAGGGCTCTAATGATGGTTTTCTGGGCTGGATTCCTGAGGCCACATCCAGAGTTCTGTCCCCCACAGCTTTGCACTTTGGGAAGTGCCAGGAAGCAAAGCCACTCTCATTAGGACAGTGGTTCTTGGAGCTGGTCTTCACAGACTTCAGTGTGAGAGATTCCACTATGGCAGCTGGTGCCAAGGCCCCTCCACATGGGGCAGGGTGGGGAAGAAACAGCGGATGCAGCCTGCACTCAGGTGTGAGCATCACAGCAGACCCAGCAGGCATCAGGATTGAGACAGTCGAGGTTAAGAAGCAGACTGGGGAGCGGCCAAGTGCTAATGGGAGTGATTACAGCCAATCTCCCAGCTCTCCCCCAGGGAAAACACCAGCCAACAACTAACCTGAAAGCTGACCCAAGCCTTCTGCTCAAGTTAATGAAGAGAAGGTGAAGGAACAAAAGCAGCTGATGAAGGCAAAGAACTGGGCTCCTGAGGGAACACTCAGAGATCTGCTCCCACTCCCCACACCTGCCGGCTACCCTGACCCACTCACCACTCACGGTACTCCCCTCCTGCTCTCACCTGGCAGGCCCAGCCCCTCCTCCCACAGATGCCTCCAGGACAGGTTCCCTCCCCAGCCACTTGAATTGTAACAGCCCTTTGAAGTTATCCTTTGTATTTCTGGGAAATATACTGTCAATCAGATTAACTTTCTTGTTTTGGTTTTTTTTAAGTTTATTTATTTTTGAGAGACAGAGAGGACACAGGGGAGGGGCAGAGAGAGAGAGAGAGAGAGAGAGAGAGAGAGAATCCCAAGCAGGCTCCACACTGTCAGTGCAGACCCCAAGGCAGGGCTTGATCCCACAAATTGTGGGCTGAAATCAAGAGTCTGACACATAACAACTCAGCCACCCAGGTGCCCCAGATTAGATTAACTTTCTGTACAAGATCTTTTAGCCCAATTTTTTCAGATCTGAGGCCCTGAATAAAAGACCACATATAATAAGGATAAGAAATCCGAGTACATGAAAGAATAAGTTGGTGGCCTAGGTATTGGAAGGATCTCCTCTTTGCACTGGGTTTTTTCTAATCTTCTGTGTACACACACACACACACACACACACACAGCCTTTGCTTCAGCCTGGAAAGGGCTTGACAAAGACATGACAAGAAGAAGGAGGACAAAAAGACTTCCTCATATATAAAGTGAGAGAAAATATCCTACAAGGATGTAGCAAAGGGAAGATACAGATGCCAAGGACCTCATAAGCCCTGAGGATCTATGCTAGATATCTTACATACCAAACTGAGAGACAGAGAAGTAAAACAACTTACTCCAAGTCACACAGCAGTTAAGGGCAGAGTTAGGGTTAGATCTAGACTTCTCTTAGCCCAGTGCTCTCACTGCGTACCACTCTCCAGGATGGCAGCACTCATGGGCATCCTGGGGGACAGGGACAAACTAAGCAGGTTTCAAACCAAAATATACTTACCTAAGAACCTGCTAAACACTAGGCACTGGGTAAGGTTCATTTGGGGACCTAATATTCTTGTCCTCCTGGAACAGCAGTAGACAGACTAGGAGTAAGGGAAAGATATCCCTGCCAGCTCAGCAGCATAGGAAGGTTCAGTGAGGCAGGGCCAGCCCCTCCAAATACTGAACCAAGACCCCACTCATTCCCGATCCATTCTCAGTTCACTATCACTGCCCTCTCTCACCTTCATAGCGAGAATAAAGAACAGGTCCAAAGAGAACTGTCAGAGGGGTGTGTGGAACCTCACAGGTACTTGTGAAAAGACACAAGCAGGGATCTCTGGTTCTCAACTACACAGTCACCATACTGACTATCAGAAAATGAAAGGGAAGCTAGCAGGGAACTGGGACTGAGACAGGATGAGTCTGTGAAGCTGCGTGCGGCTTATTAGGAACTTGGAGCCTCAAAACTGCTTTTAGAGCTCTCTGAAGATGGACACTCCTCCTACCCCAGTTCAGAGCTCCTCCAATACCTGGAGCAAGGCTGTGCCTTGAGCTGTCCCACAGATGTCACACAGACATGCCATTACCCTCTTGGGGAAAGGAGGCAACTCCATGTATCAGTCCCTGGGCTAGGTGTCGGGATTCTAGACACTAAAACAAGGCAAGTCCTTTCCTAGGAACCTACACTGGGAGGGAGACACAATAAAATATTATGAATGTTATGACCAAATGTTATATAGGGTCCAGAAGAGGTATGAAATAGGAGTTGGTAAAGCATTCAAGGAGGATGGGGTATGAAAGCTGTTGTAAAACATGAGCAGATGTTGGTTAGCAGATAGCAGATAGGGCTGGATAGGGAGAGCATCCCAGGTAGAAGGAGCAAGATCAACAAAGTACCAAAGGTATGAAATAGCAGGACATTTTTAAGGAATTACAAGTATGGGACACTGCTTGAATATGAGGTGCAAGAAGATGCAATACGAGATAAGCCTGAGGAAACAGGTAGGACCTCATATGCCAGCCCATATGCAGAATGGACTGCATTCTGAGAGAACAGGGAACTCTTTTTTTTTTTTTAAGATGTGATTTATTTCTTTATTTTTTATTTTTAGAGAGAAAGAGGGCAGG